ATACTTTTGCTGCCAACTATAAAATTTAAATCTAGTTAAAGAATTTATTATAATAATGTCTTGTATTACAACTACATATATTAAACACATAACAAATAGATTTATGTGAATAAATTGTGTGTATTTATGTTGCTTTTCTTGAATGAATAAACACCTAAAATGATACTTCATGTTCTGAAACATCATAAGAAAATTTTGGTTTACAAACACCATCACATAATTCTAAATTTCTCCTTGCCAGTTCAGTTTACAAAATGTTATGTTCCTACTATCAGAGGTCAATGGTTTGTTCTCATGTGAGAGAAATTGCATTGAGGTGAACAGCCTCCACATTAGTCCTGTGACGGTAAAATTGCAAATACTTGGAAAAACTGAATACTGCCAATAGTTCACAATCCCATCCTACAGTTTGTTTTAATTCAATGTATCTATTTAAGAAACTCTCACTTGAAGACATTGTTTAAAATCAAAAACCTCTATTTTCTGATTGCATGTTTGTTGTCACAAATAGGATTCTGGGAATCAACCTGTTTAAGTTAACTGAACCCAAACGACCGCTAAAACCACAGAGAAATGAAAGAAAGAAGGTGACAACTCAGAATCTGTCTGATGGAGACATCAAGCTGCTCATTAATGTCATCCGGGCTCATGACATCCCAATCCGCAAACCTCAGAGCAAGTGAGTTCCTCCAGTTATATTCAGCACAGCTAAAAACGAACCTAAAGCCTCACTGGCCCTGAACAACCCTCAGAGGTTGGATTCGGTCAAAAGCTTTTTGGTAACTGACAACGATCTAAATAGTTTTAATTGGTTTTCATTTCAGTAAACCACCAGGACAGTTTTCTCAGAGCGCCACCCAGGGCAGTGATTGGTGCCTCAGTCAGGTACAGTACACCAGCACTCTAATCTGCAACAGACCGTTGTGTGGTTTGTTTGATCTCGTTTAAGTGTGTGTCTTTGTATCTAACACAGGTACAAGTCAGGCCATTTGTAGAAGTTTCCTTTCAGCGCACAGTGCTTCAAACAACCACAGCTGATGGACCGAACCCAAGCTGGAATGAGGAGCTGCAACTGCCATTCAGGTGAATAACTGAAAACTCCTTGTTTTGTCTTTTATTTTTTGATGGGAAATATGTAGACTTAAGCCCTATTTGCATGGGATTAGTTTTACCTAGGGACCACATATTATTTGTAATAATTACAGAGATTGTCTGTGTTGTTAATCCTGTGCGAATCGGCCATGTCAGTCATTTGTAAAGTAAAAATTCCCCCGCAAATTACCTACTATATTTTGCTGAACTCTGAGGTCCTGTGATAATACTAATCCAATGTGAATAAGCATCTCTGTGATTTGGACAGAAATGGGCAGGATCCGATAGGTAATTGGGGGGGGTTGTTTTCTAAGCAAAATCATTTTCTAAAATCATCATGTCTGCTGGATTCCTTAGATAGAGAACTTTACTAATTGGCTTTTATGTATGTGAATGTTTCTGTAAAGTGCCCTGAGACAACTTTGTTGTGATTTGGCGCTATATAAATAAACTGAATTTAATTTAATTTAATTTTTAAAAATATAGAACAATCTATTTTAAATGAACGCGCTACTGCTCACGTCGGTTTTTATTCTGCTACTTCCTTCACTGCAAATGACAACAGGTGCAGAGACTCGCGCATGATCAGCTGACCCATCCATTCATCCATCCATCCATTATATTTACCCGCTTCTTCCTTTTCGGGTAGTGGGGGTCGCTGGTGCCCATGTCCAGCCATCACTGTACGAGAGGTGGGGTACACCCTGGACAAGTCGCAAGTCCATGTTTACCAGTGGGTCAGTGGCCGTGCGCGGCCGGTGACAGCTGTCATCTGAGCTTAACATGGCTTTTCTTACCTCTTAAACTGGCCGGTCAGACCTGTCTCCTCCTCAACAAGTAGATTAACACAATTTTATATTGTGCATTCTTTAGTGCTGATTCATAAAACCACATTAAAGCCTGAGACCAGCCCGGCCCGCACATTAAGCACATTATATGGACCGGCCCGGTCCGAATCCAGGTCGGGCTCTGGGTTGACAGCTCTAAAATACGCAGCGCATTAACATCATTTCCGGAAGATGTCCATAAATTTCAGCTAAATCTCAGGCTTTGGTTATCCCGTGCGAATGCGCCACATAAAAAGCAGACGTTGGGGAATAATTTATTTATTACATGTGGTCCCTAGATAAAACTAATCCCATGCAAATAGGGCTGTAGAATATCTTTTCATTATTTACTATCCACCTGAGAGAGTTTTCATTATAAAAGAAATGAGAGTATTGTTTTATTAACCTTATTTAGAGAACTTGGAGAGGTGGAGGTATGCACTAAGAAGAGGAATGAAAGTCAGCCGTAGTAAGTGTAGATGAACAGATGCTGCAAAATATTCATCAATTAAAACGGATTCCTCATTTTTCTGGACTGAATAAAACGTGCATTGAATTTAATGAAATGCAAACGTGAGACGTCATTTATCTTTGACCCATCAAAATGAATGCGGTCATTTATTTACAGAATCAAAGTTTAACATCAAACATTTACATTAATTTGGCAAAATATGAAAATAACAACATAATCAATCAATCAGGAAAACCATACGGCCATGATTTTCCGTTGCTTCACCACAGACATTTATGAAAACTGTACAGTTATGATCAATTATCCACACGGCGGTGGATGAGCACTTTACACAGACATTTCTAAATTATCTGGAAGGATTTCTACTTGAGAGAAGAATTTAAAGATGGAAAGATGGAGTTTAAAGGGAGTAAAAGATGGATGAGGGAGAATGTGGTGTCAGCTTCAGAAACGGCACCCTCCATTCGAACCCAGCTCTCCTCGGTACGCTTTGGTAGGAAACTTGACTCATTACCTTTCTGAAGATTAATCAGCAGATATGGAGGTCCAGTTAACGCTACCTGTCCAGCGTCTCCATAGGATGGCTGTGACTCGTCCGAAGTAGTGACGAGATTCCGTCTGACACAAGCTCACCTCAGCAAGTGGAAAGTGTTATAATCCCATGACACTCGGAAGAGCTCTGTGGTCATGTCAGGGTCTTCCCGGCTCCCACAGCAACTGCACAGCACTAGGACATATCAGAACTCCGAGAACCAGGAAGTACCGACATTTTAAAGAGCTCTATTTCCGGTATATTTGAGCGTCCTGATTGGATAATATCAACCAGACAGGGGTGTGTTTTGTGACGTAAGAGGTTACTATAAGTCAGAAAACAGCAAGAATTGTTATGGAACAGATTAAACTGTTCTCAGAGACAGAGAGAGTTTTGTTTTGGCGAGTTTTAGAAACAGGTGCCAACTCCGTTGGCGTCTGAGAGGATGTAAACAAGACAGTTGTTCCAACACATGTCTGCTTCGACTCCTGACCTTGGAAAACGCACACTTGCTCATTCAAAGACAGAAATCAGAAAATGCATAAAAATCTGTAACAGACCTTAACATGAATTCTAACTCTGCATAAGCATTAAAATCATTACACTGTTTCACAGTTAATAAAATTGATTAGTTCACTGCAACATCTAAAATGGTTTGAACTAAGACACTTTGATTATCAACATTTGTAAAATAGTAATGATAATAAAAAGAGAGTGTTCTTTCACTTGATTTTCAAGAAAGAGAGTCTCAGGATGGGTGAACCTGTATTTCTGGATTCAAATCAATGAAATGACAGTTCCTGTCCCACAAGGTTCTTAAGGTCAAGAGTTTTGACCTTAGGCTTAGTTTTGACATCGGGTTAAGTTCACTACATAAGACAGTACATGTGTGTGAATGAGAGGGAGGCCAGTGGAACAGTGAGGCTACAAGGAGCAGTGGTCACAAAGGTGCAGGACTTCAAGTACTTGGGGTCCACTCTCCAGGAAAATGGGGAGTGTGGTAAAGAGGTGAAGAGAATCCAGGCAGGATTTAGTGGATGGAGAAAAGTTTCAGGAGTGATTTGTGACAAAAGGGTGTCAGCAAATGTCAAAGAAAAAGTTTACAAGACAGTGGTGAGACCAGCTTTATTGTACAGGTCCTTCTCAAAAAATTAGCATTAATTAAAGGTCATTATTAAGTCATTAAGGTCATTATTTTCCATAATGTAATGATAAAAATGAAACTTTCATATATATCAGATTCATTGCACACCAACTGAAATATTTCAGGTCTTTAATTGTTTTAATACTGATGATTATGGCATACAACTCATGAAAACCCAAAATGCCTGTCCCAAAAAATTAGCATATCATGAAAAGGTTCTCTAAACAAGCTATTAACTTAACCATCTGAATCAACGACGTAACTCTAAACACCTGCAAAAGATTCCTGAGGCTTTTAAAAACTCCCAGCCTTATTCATTACTCAAAACCGCAATCATGGGTAAGACTGCCGACTTGACTGCTGTCCAGAAGGCCATCATTGACACCCTCAAGCAAGAGGGTAAGACACAGAAAGAAATTGCTGAACGAATAGGCTGTTCCCAGAGTGCTGTATCAAGGCACCTCAGTGGGAAGTCTGTGGGAAGGGAAAAGTGTGGCAGAAAACGCTGCACAACGAGAAGAGGTGACCGGACCCTGAGGAGGATTGTGGAGAAGGGCTGATTCCAGACCTTGGGGGAACTGCGGAAGCAGTGGACTGAGTCTGGAGTAGAAACATCCAGAGCCACCGTGCACAGGCGTGTGCAGGAAATGGGCTACAGGTGCCACTTTCCCCAGGTCAAGCCACTTTTGAACCAGAAACAGCGGCAGAAGCGCCTGACCTGGGCTACAGAGAAGCAGCACTGGACTGTTGCTCAGTGGTCCAAAGTACTTTTTTCGGATGAAAGCAAATTTTGCATGTTATTCGGAAATCAAGGTGCCAGAGTCTGGAAGAAGACTGGGGAGAAGGAAATGCCAAAATGCCAGAAGTCCAGTGTGAAGCACCCACAATCAGTGATGGTCTGGGGTGCCATGTCAGTTGCTGGTGTTGGTTGATGGGTTTGGGGTGTTCAAATGACCCGAGCACAGAATTTCAGAAGCACTTCACCTTAGTATTAAACAAACAAGTGTCATACCTGTCTCTGTTTCCCTCAGAATTATATCAAATGTGAACTTGTATGATTATCCTTAGCACTTGTGAGATTATATATAACATGAAGTAATTAGTGTATGATTATCCTTAGCAATTGTGAGATTATATATATATATAACATAGTAAACACTTTAGAATTAATGCAGGCCTGTAAATATAGTTCAAACCCTTGAATTCAGACACGCACACACCTTGTAGAAAATGCATCATTTCACATCATCAGAGAAATGTCAAGGCTTGTCAAAAGATATAAAAAGATATCAAATCCAACACACCCTCTTTTGGTCTCCCCATATTTATGGGAGACCACACCACGTATGATTTGATTTTACAGATATTTTGATTCTGCCCACTCCAGGTGGCTCTGATCATCTGCGGAGGTTTCACCTGAGTGCTGCATCAGGGTCATGACATTAGCGGTTTTAGTCTCAACCTGAATCATTTTACGAACGATCATTCTAGCACAAGGGATAATACCAATCATCAAAACACAAAAAATAATAAGAATTGCAGTCGGGGGGCCAAGATCTTTAGCACAATCTGACTCCCAAGAGCCGCTCGTGAACCAAGAGAAACTTCCAGGATCCTGGAGAAGGATCCTCACTCTTAGCCTTCTGCAGCGCATTAAGTTGGTTCAAGGAGTTGGTCACCCTGGCCTGGGGGTCGTGTCCGGTCTCATCCTGCAGGTGGCGGTAGACACAAATAGGAAATTGTTCCTCTGGGGTCCATTCTACAAATTGACTCAGCACCACTACCTGAGATGGTTGCATCAGGGAGTACCTGCGAGTTTTACAATGATGTGGATCTTTAACATAACCTCTTGAACTGTATTGCAGAAAGCAGAAAGACAACTTGCGTTCGATGGGTTTAACACGTAAGGTCAGATGTGAGGCTGAAACTGGGATTTTGGTACACACATAACATTCAGCGTTGTGACAGCCTCTGGCCAGGAACTGAGCATAACGGTACCAGCTGTTCATTTGAAAA